AGATATTTAGGGAAATGTTTTGATAGAAACAGTAAGGGACTTAAATGAAGAAAATAATCTATTGAAGTAAATAACACAAAACCTGATTGAATGCAAAAAATATACCTGATCCTGAATGGGAAGACTTGTCAAACAAAAGTCAAGTGTTCCAAAACTTAAGATATATATATATATATAATGCCATTGCCATTAGAATATCAGCAGACTTGTTTGTTGAATTGTATACAGAGTGGAACTGCCCCATAGAGTTTTTTTTTTGGGGGGGTGGGGGGCTGGTGGGGAGGGCTGTAATCTTTATAGAAGCAGATACCCAGGTCTTTCTCCGGTAGAGATGCTGGGTAGGTTTGAACCACCAACCTTTCAATTAGCAGCCAAGCGTTTAACCATTGCACCACCAGGGTACCTTATACCAACGAACAGACAATCAAAATATGAAAAAGAAAGATAGTTAAGTGGAGCCTTGCTTCATCAAATAGCAGACTGAATTAATATATTATATTAGGAACTGAGAAATAGATCAATGGAACAAAATAGAAAATTCATACCCCGTTGCTGTTGAGTTGATTCTGACTCATAGCGACCCTATAGGACAGGGTAGAGCTGCCCCATGGAGTTTCCAAGAAGCCACTGGTGGATTCAAACTGCCGACCTTTTGATTAGCAGCCATAGCTCTTAACCACTACGCCACTAGTCCAATTCATAGGGAGATCCTAATAACCAAGAATACAGAGTTGGTATTTCAACTAGAGAAAATCAAGATTTATTTAATAAACGGTGCTGACTTGACTGACTGTCCTTCTGGAAAAGTATACCAAAATACCATATAGATTTACAGATTTAAAATACAAATCAACAACAATCTTAATAGAAAATTAGGAAGTTACATATAAGATTTTCTTAACCTGTATAGGAAATCAAGAAACTATAAGAGAAAACGTAGATGTAATCGAGCATAAAACACTTAAATTATTGAAGAGGGGAAAATAGCTTGCAAAAAAAAGGGATGAACAAGCAAAAGATTTAGAAATTTTAAATGTAGTTGACAAAGGGCTAATAACTATTTCTACTTTATATGAAGGAGACACAAAAATTTGGCACTTGGAAAACGAGCAATAATTTTTTTAAATAAAATTTTACTGTGTTTTGAGTAAAACTTTACCCAGCAAATTAGGTTCCCAGTTGACAATTTCTACACAAATGTTCAGCGACACTAGATTTTTCACGATGTGTTACCATTGTCTTTGTGTTCTAGTTGTTCCCTTTCCAGTACTCTAGTTTCCCTGCCCCCTATCTTGTCATCTTTGCTTTAGAGTAATTGTTGACCTTTTGGTCTTATATAGTGATTTTTTAATGGAGTGCCATACTCATGGATAATACCCTTTATTTTGTGTGCCAATCTGCTATTTTGCTAAAAGGTGACCTCAGGGGATAGTTTCAGTTTTAGGTTTAAAGAGTATCCCAGGGAGTCCTCTAGTCTTAACTGGTCCAGTAAGTCTGGACTTTTTAAGAATTTGAGTTCTGTTCTTCATTTTACTCCCATTTTTTCAGTGTCTGTCTGTTGTGGCCCTGATCAGAACTGTTGGTAATGAGCAATGAATTCAAACAGACCATTCAGAAAAAATCCAAATGCTCAATAAACATAATCAAAGTTGTTCAAAAACACTGCTAGTTAAGAAAATATCAATCAAAGTACCAGTGAAACTCAGATATGGCTGGAAAGGTGCATTATTACAGCCTTTTAGGGGAAAGACATGGACATGGCTCTATACTTTTAAAACATTCTTTGAACTGGAAATCTCACTCATTGGAATCTATCCCTCAGAAACAAATCCTGTAGTATATAGCGACCCTATAGGACAGAGTAGAACTGCCCCATATGGTTTCCAAGGAGCCGCTGGTGGATTTGAACTGCCAACCTTTTGGTTAGCAGCCAGGCTCTTAACCACTGTGCCACCAGGGCTCCATGTAGTATATACAAAGGACGGTTATTGTTAATGACAAAAAAGGAAAAATAAAATTACTGCCCATTGATGGTGGGATATTATAATAAAATTTTAATATGTAATATATAATATTCTAATAATATTAGAATAATAATATAATAACCATATCATGCAATAATACATGGTAGTCATTAGAATGAAATAGAGCTGCAGAAGATAAGTGAAATCACTGTGAAATATCATTGAAGAAAAAAAGCAGGATGCAGAGAAGTATATATATAAAATGAGCCCACATGGGTAAAACAATAACAATTGAATATATTTGAATACCAGTATATGTATATTTGTGTGCATAAATGAGTAGACGCATTTATTTGCATGTGTGTGTATGATAGTTTCGGCAAGAATAATAAGATAGAACACTTACCTGACTGCTGATATGAACTACCTTGGATTCAACTATGGGAAGAGACAAGGGGAGGAGAGTTAGAACATATTGAAAAGACTATGTTTAACCAGCATAGATGATACGTGTTTTCATTTCTGTAGAGTTAAATGGAAGTGTTTAGGTCGCACACTGTAATTGTTCCCATTTATTTACATTCTTTGTGTATAAATATGAGTTAAAAAATTAGAAGAACCAAAAAGACAGCATCAGTGCCATGTCTACCGACTTACAGGAGAACCATGATTGAACATCAAGTGAAGAAAGGGGCAAGGAGCAATGTGGGTACACTGTATCACAGGTTCTATAAAAGCAAACATACAAATAAATCTACATGTGTACCTATGACTCTAACACGTGTCCCAGAAAAGAGAAATGTATGGAAAGATACACACGTGTCTTTGAACGTTGGACACCTTGGGGAAGCAGGAGCAAAATACCTATGTAGGGATGGCTCTTACTGTAACTTCTTTACAAATCTGTACTGTTATATATGTCATGTTAAGATTATAAGATCTTTGCAAGTTGTAAAATATCACAGATATATATTTTTAAAACTTTTTTTTATGTCGTTGTTGTTAGGTGCCGTCAGGTCGGTTCCGACTCGTAATGCCCCTATGTACAACAGAACGAAACACTACCCTGTCCTGCACCATCCTCACAGTTGTTGCTGTATTTGATCCCATTGTTGCAGTCATCGTGTCAATCCATCTTGTTGAGGGTCTTCCTCTTTTCTTATAGGGAAAAAAAAACAATCTTTAACGCCAGATCAAAGATTTTAATCACTGGATAGAGAACACAAACACAGATTGTACAAAAGTCAGACTCTGCAGATTTCATGCTTGGTATATGGAGCCAATGACCTCTTCTGGTCTCTGTTCTTAGAAAGGACCAAAAAGGATTCTATAAGGCTCAATATAGTTACTCCTCATGCATGTATATGTGTATATGCAAAGATGAAGGCTGGACACCATGTGCAATTCAGTAGGTAACATAAGGAACAAAGAAGAGTCTCTTTCTCTGATATGCTGATTCTTCTGATAATGAAGATTATGGCCGCAAGTCTTTAGACACCTCAGCGCACCTTGTGTATATCAGGCCCCTTCCATTCCTGTACCTCTGAAAATCACAGGCTTTCCTTTTTCATCATCAGGTACCGGCAGAATTAACTCTGTCTCAAAGCTCTTGCTTCTGTCTGCCTCTGACCCTCTCCCTCACAGTAGCCATTACTGTCACTGACAAATACACACAGGGCAGCCTGTGGATGGAGATCCCTGTCCTGGAGGCCCTGCCCTCCCTTCCTTGTCCCTGAAGGCTTCCCTGTTCCACTTGGGGTCTTGTCTCCCAGGAGGATCGACATGCCCTTGGCACCTCCAGGACTTCCCAGGCCTGGGACTTGATGATGTGTCTGAGACTTAGGCTTTTCTGCTCATTATAGAGACTGGGCCTGAATGTGCCCCGTCCCGGCCCCACCTCTGATCATCTGTGTTCTCCCAGGGTTAGGAGGCTTCGTCTGGCTTTTTTTCCTATAGTTTCAGCCCAGTGTTTTTCTTCCAGTTGTCTGATCTCAGAATAGGCCAGATTATACCACAGAAAAAAGAAAGAACAAGCTAGTGTTACTGATATGTGCAAAATCAAACAGAAAAACCTATTTTAAAAGAAAGAAAAAGTTCCCTTACATCCTAGGAGATCTTTTGCATGAGTTATTCAGACACAAGTGGATCTACTATTATCCAGGAAAGGGTGACACCCAGGAGAATTTTTCTAAACCATCTTCCCCTCCTCCAAAGAGGCAACAACACTAAATCACAGCAATAAACCCAAATTCCCCCAGTGAGGCCAGTAGACTTGAATGGGGTGAGGTCTTTACCTCACCACCTCCTCTTTTTTTCCCAACCAGGAACTCCTCCTTTCTCTGCCTGCAGGCTATTGAGAAGGGACCCAGAGTCCTTGGTTTATGGCTTTATGCCCCCTGCTCACCCACAGGCAGGTTTCCCCACAGCCTGCCGTCTCTCTGGTTCCTTCTATTACAAACAACTCAGTGACACCCCCTTCACCATCATATCTCCCTAAAGCTACCTTTGCAGAGGCCCCCTCTCAGCCTCCTGAGTCCCACTGAAATGCCATTTCTCTTCCCTACTTACGCTGTGCTCATCCTCAGGGTCCCAAGACCTCACCATCCAGATGAGGCCTGTCCTCTCCTCTCCTGGGCCAGGGGAGCCTCTGAGGTGAACTTGATGTCTGAAGTCAGCAGTCCTGGGTCTTCTTCCATCGAGGTCCCCCCAGAGCTGGAACGAACTCTCCATGCACTTGGGGTGGGACGGTGAGGCCACAGAGGCTGGAGAAGAGTTTCTTACAGGGCAGGTGGGCTAAAGGAGCCTGAATAGAGGTCTTAACAGAACAAAAACCTATAGCCCTGTTGTTTATTGCAACGCATGGTGAACTCACTTGTTTCAGAGTAGAACTGCACTCTGTAGGGTTGTCAATGACTGTGATAGGCCTTTCTTCAGTGAGCCATAGGTGGATTCAAACCACATACCTTTTGGGTAGCAACCAATAACAGGATCCACATTTCCCAGCGCAAATGCCCTGCTCCTCCCAGTCGGAAGGCGCTAGCCGGTCTTCAGGCGCTTCCCCCTCTGGCCTTGGTGCCGCGCCTGCGCCCTCTGCAGCCTGCCCTCCCGCCTCTGCAGCCTCGCCAGCTGGTGCCTCAGCCTCTTCAGCTCCTCTCTCTGCTTCTCCAGCTGCTCCTCCAGGCGCCTGCAGACAGCTCTCTTCTTCCTCATCTCCCTCTTCGTGGCGGCCATCAGGTGGCGCCTGGCCAGCTGGTGGCAGTATCGGGGCCTGCACTGGGCTGAGGGCGGCAGCCGCCTCTCCAGCAGCGCCTCATAGAAGAGCCGGCAGCTGAAGCCCTGGCTCACGTCATGCTCCGCATGCGCCACCAGAGCCTCCTGGGACTGGAACACGAAACAGCAGGCCACGGAATGGAAGCAGCGCTTGCGGGTAACCAGCCACTCGGGAGTGGCAGCGCGGGTCCTCTCCCCTTGCTCTTCCCACCCCCGAACGATGGCCTCCAGGGTGCAGGCCTTGGGCCGCTCCTGCCAGGGCTCCAGGGCACTGACCAGGGACTCGGTGTTGGCCAGACTGCGGGCAGAGCCGATGGTGCTCTCCTCTGAGAGCTCGGCCTCAAAGACCTGGGGCATCTTGCCCACGGGGGCAAACGAGGTTTTGGTCCGCCAGGCCACGGCCACCCCCTTGACTGTGCGCACCATGGGGAAATAAGTGCACCTGACCCATCGCTTCTCTGGAGCAGCCCCGTAGCTGGATGCATGAGAGGTCTGCTCAGTGGAAGGTGAGGGAAAAGACCTCTCTGACTGTCGTGGAATCTTCCAGGCCTGGAGCTTGGGCTTTTCTCTTGGGATGTTATCAGCTGGGTGGCACATGCCCCTTGGGTTGAGACCTCTGAGAATAGAGCTCTCTATTCTCAAGGATCTCTGGAGGCCTCTCTATCACCACCATCCTCCACCTCTACAGACCTCCTCCCTTCTTTCTTTTCCACATAGCCTACCATCCTTTCGGGGGCATTGCTGGGAGCAATAAAATCTCTGCAATATAGTACTAATGATAGTACCCATTTCCAAGCAGTGTATTCTGACTCATGGCTACCCCATGTATTACAGAGTAGAACTGTGCTCCATAGGGTTTTCTTGGCTGTAACCATTATGGAAGCAGAAGCAAGGCCTCTCTTTCAGAACGCACCTGCGTGAGTTCGAACCACTAACCTCTCTCCTTTAGTTGCGGAGCGCAAACGGTTTGTGCCACCGGAGGACCCCTGCTAATGTAGCAGTACCTTATAATAAAAAGCTTATGCTCTTTGAAGATAGTATTGTGGGGTTTCATATTTGTAAATAAAGAATCTTCAAGTTAATTTTTTCATGGCATTTGTTTATATATTGAATGCCAAATGATTTCGCTCCTTTGGAACATGTAAATATCCTCATTTCCCTGAACCTTCATGATAGTCTGAGACTTCTAAAGATTTCTTTTACAAGGGTGATTTTCTTAGTATATTTAGCAAGTAAACACTCAAACAGGAGATATGCTCATCTCTTTTAAACCCCTTTGAAGGGAAGACTTTTATAGAGGCAATATACTTAAAGGGAAGGAAAAATTTGAATACTTTGTTAAAAGTCTTACCTGTATACCTTTTCCTTGTAGCCTTCCTAAACAAGCAACAGTAGGTTAAAGTTGCCTTTTTGTAAACAGAACGCTCACTGTTAGAGGAGCCCTGGTGGCGCAACGGTTAAGGGGTGGCTACTAACCTAAACGGTGTCGATTCAAACCCTTCTAGTAGCTCTGGGGGAGAAAGACTGGCTATCTGCTCCCATAAAGACTACAGCCTTGGAAACCCTGTGGGGCTGTTCTACTGTGTCACATGGGGTCAGTAGGAGTCGGAATCAAGTAGATAGCACATAACAATAACAACAATGTTATACTTCAGGTCACAGCTTGCTAAGTGTGCCTAAACTCCTTGATGTCCCTGCTGTAAGTATGCAATCACTCTATAATCCCCACATGATAACACTCCCCACCCCCACCCCCAACCGTTCTTGAGAGATCCTCATTTAAAAATGTGTCTCCTTTGAAAGAATTATAAATAACTTGGGTCAAACACAACGTCTGCCTTTTCTTTGTAGTCCCAGAAAATTGGATGGTATCTGACACATAGTAGGCACTGGATATATATTAGTTGGATCAATGAATGAATGAATGATGACTCCCACAGGAAAAAAAAAATTATCCTTTATAGACAACGAGTGCAGAACAGAACCCTTTATTGTGGCACCTGATTGCACCATCACTCATGGGTAGACTGTTGACCCCAATTCATTGACCTTGCTTGCTGTGAGCCCCAGAATATGTTACACTTACCCCTTCTTATGCTTTCCCTTGGGCCTCTTGGAAAAGGATCAGGATTATGGACTCACAGAAGAGCAGTGAAAACTTTATGGAGGACAGTTCTGACATATTGGGGTAGCCATAAGAATCAACTTAATGGCAACTGGTTTTATATATATATTAGCACACACATTTATGTGTATTCACACAGATATTATAGGGTGCTCTTTTACTCAATATTAGCCTTTTCCCATGGTAATATTTTAAAGAGGTCATTAAATTGCTTTGTAATGTTTTTCTGTGTGCATGTATTATATATATTTTTAGTAATTTGACTGTACTTGAAATGTTAAATGTGCACATTTCTAGTAATCTTTAACATATACTGCAAGTTTTGACATACATATCAGCCATTAAAACTTCATTTAATTAGTGTTCCACATTCTTTACCACTAGAAATGGACTCAGGAGTGGCCCTGATCAAGTTTTCTTCCTCTTACTCATGAAGCCTCTTTAAGTATTTAGAGATAGCAACTATGATTTCATGCACTCATCCTTTGTTTATTTTTAATTCAGTCAATATTTATAGAGATTCCATGTGCCTGGAATAGTCTGTGTTATGTGGATACAGTGGTGAATGGTACACACTATCCCTGCCATCATGAAGGGGACAACCCAGTGCACTTGAGAGAGGCACTGGGGAAATGCAGCTGAGAGAAAGGGCAGAGCACCTTCAGGAACCACACTGGACTTCAGAGAGCTTTGCTGGCAGCCGTTCATCTGGCGGGCTTCTAGATATCAGAGTGCCCTCGGGCTTGGTGCTTAGTCCTCTCTCTCTATTGACACCCTCTCCCTAGGAGGCCTCAATGAGTCCACGGCTGGCTGTCTGTAGCTAAGGATGTGGGAGTTTACACCTCCAGCCATTTCACCTCCTCCTGGGTCCAGACTCATATATTCAAATGTCAGCCTAACTCTCTGTCTGGGGGTCTTCATCTGTAAAATGTGCATTATAATGACAAATTACTCATACGGCTATCATGCAGAGCAAATATCTCAAGAAAGGAGAGGCAAATACAGGAGTGCCTGGCACCAGTACATGTACTCAGTAAGTGTTAGCTGTTAGAATTATTACCTGACATCTCCACGTGGATGTCTAACAGCTATGCCATGTTATCAAGGCCGTGAAACAATTCTTGGTTCCAACCCCTATTCCACTCTTATTAATGAAATTCTCAAGACTTCTGTGATGTTTTCTTCCACACAAAGTATATGTTTAGGAATGTTTGACCAGATCCTACCTAATGAATTGCTCTGACATTCCTATCGGTAACCTTTGAGACAAGTTCCAACCAACTAATCTAGCAAAGAATTAGAATCACTCTCAGCTGCTCATGCTAGTGCTCTCAATCCAGAATATCTGGTAAGCATACTGTTATGGACTGAATCGTGTCCCACAAAATTATGTGTTGAAATTCTAACTCCTGCAATTGTAAATATGACCCTGTTTGGAAATAGGAGGTTCCTTTTGTTGTGTTAGTGAGGACAGACCAGTGTATGGTGGGTCCTAAATCTAGTCACTTCTGAGTTATTAAAAAGTGTGGAATAGACACAGAGACACACAGCGGGGAGAGGAAGGCAGGCGATGGAGACAAATGCATCTAGAGCACAGGAACTCTAAGGATTGCTGGCAGCTTCTAGAAGCTGAAATGGAGGAGGAAGGCCCTCCCCCTAGAGCTGTGCTCTGAATTCAGACTTCTAGCCTCCTGAACTGTGAGAAAATACATTTCTCTTGTAAAGCCACCAATTGTCGTGTTTTTTGTCATGGTAACTAACACAGGTACCAGTGACAACAAATTCAGCCCAGTGTAAAAGAATGTTCTTTCCTCGTTGGTGTTAGTTGTTGGTGTTAGCTGCCGTTTAGTCAGCCCCTGACTCACGGCAACCCCGTGCACGCTGGGATGGGACCGTTGTGATCCACAGGGTGTTCACTTGCTGATTTTCAAAAGTAGATGGCCAGCCCTTTCTTCCTCATTTGTCTTAGTCTGGAAGCTCTGCTGAAACCTGTTCAGCATCACAGCAACAAGCAAGCCTCCACTGACAGATGAGTGTGACTGTGCTTGAGGTGCATTGGCCAGGAACTGAATTGGGGTCTCCTGCATGGAGGGCAAGAACTCTACCACTGAAGCACCACTGCCCCCTTCCTCCTTGGTGTGGCCGCCAGCAGCCCGCTCTTTCCCTGTCGGTGTCCTCTGCTTTCACCTACGAGCTATGATGGGGTCAGCTTGATGCTGATGCATTGAAATTCCACTGATTGATTGATTTTTACTTGTGGTGAAAATATATTTTCCTATTTTATATTTATGATTATCTATTGCCTTTGAGTTGATTCCAACTCATAGTGACCCTATAGGACAGAGTGGAACTGCCCCATATGGTTTCCAAGGCAGTAAGTTTTTAACGAAGCCGACTGCCACATCTTTCTGCAGCAGAGCAGCTGGAGGGTTTGAACCACTGACCATTCAGGTAGCAATATAGCACTTAACTACTGCGCCACAAGGGCTCCTTGTATTTATGATTAACTTTTATTAATTATAATACTTTCTGTAGTTTTAAAATTTTCCTATGGAGGCTGCTCTGTAATCGATGTATAATAAAAAATATGCCTTTCCTGTCTTTTTTTTTTTTTTGTCTTATTGTAGGAACTTAGATCCCCATTTTCAATGTTGAATAAAAATAATGATAGAAAGCATTCTACTTGTATCGCTGGTTTTAAACGAAATGTCCAACATTTCACATAAATACCATATTAATTGTAGTTTTCCAGTGCAGGGAACTTGTTAACTGTTCCATGTTTGCTGAGAGTTCTTATCTCTCAATGTGGTTGGACTTTGTCTACTGCTGTGTCCATCACTTGAGATAAGTATATGTCTTTTCTTCTTTCACCTGTGGATGTGGTGAATTAAATTATTAAATCTTTAATGTTCACTCAAACTTGCATGCCTACGATAAACCACCTTGATCATGGCATGGTACATGGGTTATACTTTGCTGGATTTCCTTTGCTGGCATTTTATGTAGGTTTTTGCATCTCAGTTACTTGGTGTGCTTGTCCTGTAACTGTTTTCTTCTACCATCCTTTTCTAATTTGGTATCATTATTAAAGCAGCCTTAACATCCAGCTGGGGGTGTGTTTCGTGGTTTTCTATTCTTTGTGGCCTATGTACAAGTTTAAAATTACCTGTTCCTTGCATGTTTGGCGGTAACCTGTCTGAAAATTATCTAGGCCAATTATTTTCTTTGTATGGAGATCTTAAACTACTGATCTATTTTGTTTAGTGGTTAAAGGCCTCTTTTGGTACTAATTTACTCAGAAACATTTCTGCTGCATATCCTAGGCTGCTAGAATCCCATCTATAAATATTACCTTGATTTTCAAGGTTTTCAGCCTCATTCAGACCAATTAATCAATCTCAGATTTCCCCTATTTTCTGAGAGACAGACTCTGCAACTATTCCTGGTACCAATCCCCTT